AAGCTTAGGATTTACAGTAAAGCAGCCCTGTGCTTGCAAATGGAGTTGGGACTTATAGAAAAAGGAGTTTAAAAAAATATACAGAACATATTTTTCATTGAATGGATGTGTATGAATGAGAGTGGGGACAATGAATTTTGGCTGGATACCAGATCAATTGATTGTTAAGATGCATAAATGCCAAAACTGCCTCCTGGAAAATAAATGCATATATGTATGCATACACATACACATACTGTGTGAGTAGCATGCACACGCACATATTTTTAAATAAGTGTGTTATATATGCATGTATAAAATTGCAAGTCCGATTGCTGCATGATAGAAACGGGTAGGGGGCGGCGGGGAGGGGGGGAGGCAAAAGAAAAGTCATAGAGTGGAAGAGCATGCTTGAAGATGACCAAGGATGGCTGAAAAGCCTTGATTTTTCTTTTCCTGTTCCTTTGTTGCTATTTTTCATTCAAATTCAAGCCAATTGAAATTCTCAATTACATAGGCACATGATACTTAACTGAAACGCATTTGTACTTAATGGCGTGCTTAGAACTCTGTGAAGGCTTTCCCATAGCCTTCAGAATACTAGATTCTGATGAACTTTTTCTAAAGCTTGCAATTTCAATTGCTGCAATAAACACTGATTCACTTTTACAGCTGGCTTGCTGTTTGTTCTCCCCAATAGTTGCTTCAGTTTTCCTCTTCAATGTGCCTACAATGTGATGACATGAAGTTCACAGGATCATAGGATTATAGATTTAGAGTTAGATGGGACTTAAAAGAGCTCCTGCACAACTCTATTTTACAGAAGATGAAACTGAGGGACACAGAAATTAAGTGAGTTCATGAGTAGAAAGCAACAGAGGCAGAATCTGAACCCAGGTTTTCTGACTTAAAATCCAGTCTTTTTCTTCCCTTTTCTTTTGTTTTGTTTCAATGTGATCTATAGCAGAAAGATCACCAGGCCTGCAAATACGTGCTTGACTGATTGCTTAAACTTCCTAAAAAAATCAGAGTTGCCTAAATATGGAATTACCTCCCTTGGTGGGTAGTGAATTCCCCATCACAAAAAGTATTCTAGCTAAGGATGAATATACACTTATCAGAGATGTTGTAAAAGGAATTTCAGGTTACAGGTATGGATTGGACTGCATGATCTTTGAGATACCTTCCCACTCTGATACTCTATAATTCCATATCATAGCCAAAGTAAAGTTTTGATCTCTTTTACTGTATTTCATGTGATAGTGATTTTAAATCTATTTCTTTATGTTAGTTGAAAGTGTGATTGAAGCATTTTTAAATGGACCATATTACTATATTGATGCCTACTATAAAACCCTGGTCCAGTGTCTAATGGTAGCATGGAGGTGACTCTGAATTCTTAAAGAACACAAGCTCTGGCTAGTGTTACCACACTGGTAGGGCTTCAAGTTCTGACCTGTCATCTAAGTCCCAACCTAGCTAACTAAGGACAGTGCCTCTTTCTCTCTAGGGAGCTGGGCACCAGATGCCAATTTTGTTTTCAATCACAACTCATGAGGACTGCCTATTAAGGCAAGACCTTTGGCATGCTTCAATGGATCAGAAGTGGATGATTTCATGCCACCTTGATGATATTGTAGATCTCAAAGCTCAGAAGTAAAGAATTATGCTGTGGCATGCCAGAATGTAATATTGTACAACGGGGCAGAATTTTAATGTCTAAAGTAATTAATTCAGGGTAAAGTGGAATTTGAGGCAAAAATTTTGGAATTGGATCTAAAGAATCTTATTTGAAGGCATCTTTCTATTGCAAAAAATTTCTTCATTGGTTTTTGCTAAAGAAGATGAATTGAACACATTCACCGTTGGTTTGGTTACAATCTGTCCTGAATAGCAATTGTGATGGGGTTACATCCATTCTTTGGCCCTACAGACATATCCTCCAACTAAATGGTCAGTGTAAAAGATCCCCTTCTTAAGCAACAACGACAATAACAACAACAAGATGGACATAAACCTATTTCAGACATTAAAGAGGATCAAAATGTTTGTGCCTGTCTAGGACTTTGAAAAACTAGAATGCTGTAAAACTGCCTTTCATAGTTCTAAGAGTCATAGAACACTATGGACTCTGGAGAAATGAAAATGCATATCATTTGAGGGACAATGGAAAGGCACATGTGGGTTATCACAAACAGGGAACTATGGAGAACTGGAATAAGAGATACCATCAAAAATGTAGGAACAAAAAAGAAGATAGACTGGTCGCACAATAAGAACAGGAGATAATTGATGAACTATTCTTAACACCCCCCCCCCATGCCTTGGTATCTTTGCAAAAGGACAAATGCCTTTGGCACGTTGAGTGGACTGCCAGTGGTGAACTAATGGGAAGACATGAACCAGAGCTGCAGAGGATGGCTAGGCATGGGTGGGTTGTGATCCACATCATTAAAAAGAAGTCCCAGATGGAGAATATAGATCTGCAGGAGCATGTGAGTACTGGCATTACAAACTAGGATTGGGAACCTGTTTTCTGAGATTGAGGGTCAATCAGCATTGTGTGGGGAATGTTTTGTGACTGCTTGTTTCATCTTATTCATCTATTATTTGTAAATTTGTGGCACTGAGCTGTTAGAGGAACATCTATTTGCTTACATTTACATCTGTGAGTTGCTGTGTGTGTGTGTGTGTGTGTGTGTGTGTGTATAGGATGAAGCTGAGAATTCATTATCTATCTGTTACTAATCAAATACCAGGAACATGCGAGCTGCCTCTTTTCTTTGCTGTTCGATCACCTTAGGTAATGACCATGTCAGAAAGATTGGACTAAAGATAGTCCTTGACTAACTATGCCCATTATTCTTTTCAAAACAACATGTTGCCACTGAGAATGTGTCAGCCCCGAGCCTTGAGTACTGTTTGATATTCTAGCAATGTAACTCTCTTATCCATGTCACTAAATAATACATGCATAAGGATGTGAAGCAAAAGTAATTTAGATGGTCATGATAATATTGAGCCAACTTGCTCTAACATGAAAGTCCTTAGCTCAATTTTCCCCTTCCCAATTGGTAGGGCAGTAGCAATGTGCCCTTTTTAGCATACATCTTTTACATGGCCCTCATATGAATTCTCTGGAGGTAGCTGTGTGAGTGCCTGGCTAAAGACAAAGAGCTTGCCACCATCTGAAGCAGCAGCCCAGCTGTGCTCCACAGTTGTAGAATGGCTGAATACACAAAAGTAAAGAACTCTATGGGAGGGATATCCTTTGCTCCTCTGGCAGATAGAGTAGCATGAGAAGCAGGAGATCTGAATTCTAGATTTCACCACTAAGTTTATGACTGAACACATCCATCTTTCTGGCCTCAGTTGTCCCATCTGTAAAAATAGGATTACATCTTACTTAAAGAAAGGGGATTGGAGCAGAGACTATTGCAATTCATTGTAGATCCAGAACTGATGACTCAATGCACAGGTATAGAAACCTGGGAAGTCTACCTTACAAAATCCTAGGGAAAGACATCTCTGAGCTCTGTCATTTTGTAATGTCTTTATGTGGCTGAATTGGTGGAGTTGTGCTTGGAGCCCATCCTGTATCAGAGCTAAGGGGAAGACAAGAACTTCATATTCGAGAGGCCACTAGAGCCATTTCCAGTTAATGGAGAAAACCTAACTCCCATTATTTTCTTAATGTGTCCAAGTTATCAGTCCTCTTGTTTCTGTAGACCACACACACACACACATACACACACACACAGAAGATCAAATAAAATCAAAGTGGTAGACCCCTGAGCATGGTGTGGCAATAACACTGCTGGTTAAGAGTTTTGCTATACTTAAAGAAAGATCTTTTGTAGATTTCATATTACAGTTTGGCATCTTGCTTAATCACAGTTAAATTTTTTCATGAATTCTCTTAAATGGACCAATAAAAATCATGCTCTTCATTCATAATTAATAGCCTACATTCAAATACTGAACACCATAAGAATTTTGAAGGATAATATAGGTTATATTCAGGTTATTCTGCCTATGTCCTCTTTTATTTGGAGGGGTAGGTGACCCTTATTTTCAAAAAGTAGATGTTTTTCTACTGGAGATGCTTTGAAGGAATAACACATTTATTTAGAGATGAGTCCAGAGTGGGAGAGATTTTCAACATGAAAACAAAACAAACAAAAAACTGCTTCCGTATAGAAAGCCTAGGAAGGTTTGCCCTGAAACCTGATTAAATATTTAAGAAATACCTGCACAAAGAGAGTGTTTCCAAAATGTTCAATGCTGTTTGGCCCCAGGTGTCCTGAGTTTGTCTCTCCCCTTGTGCTGTAATGTTTATCATGGAAGAGCAAGAGAAGGAACTGAAGATAATATAAGGAGGGAACCTGACTTGGTGAGGCTCCAGGTCTTTCCAATGGAAAAATCCTCCAATATAACGGAAACAAACATTTTAAAAGGAGCACATTTAGAAAACCTTTTGCAGGGAGGAAGTGATTCTTAAAATAAAGTGGATCCACTGGGATAATTCACATTGAAATTGCCTTTTCAGGATTGAATTATTCAACTAATTGCCTCAAATTCTATATTTCCCCAGTAGATTCTAAACTCCTTAAAGACAGTTTATTCCATTTTTGTCTACATTTCAAGTGTCTTTGCACATAGTAGGCTTTTAATAAATGTTGGTTGAAATTTATTTTTTTTCCTATTATATAAAGACTGCTTATGAAAATGACATCTTGATCCATATCATTCAACCAATTGATACTCATTAACCTTTGTTTACACTTTCAACTGTGGTTGAGACTAAGCTTTATCTCCTGGTGTAGTTTTTTTTTTTAATCTAAAAATAATGGAAAAATCAAACTGAAGACTAGAAAATCAAAATCTACAGGCTTCCAAGAATATGACCTCAACCAAATGCTAGACTAGAAAATCTGAGACTTGGATATCTGATATATAGTGACATATGAAACAAAGGTATTTCATTAGGCATAAGAAATTGACATGAAATAGATTGAAAATAGGATTTTCAACTGTAATCAGTTTATCTGATATCAGAAATACAGTTTTCAAATAGACTTGGAGAATACTATAGAGGTTTAAAATGTTACCTGATAAGGATTATGGAGGACAGTAGATTTAGGAGATGTTATGCTCATCTATAGCCAGATCAGTCTATAAAATTGCTTTTCCTACATTAGTTCAAAGTGGAAGTTGCTCTAAAAGGATGGAAGGGGGTGTGCGAGGAAAGATAAACCCTAACTATAAAACCAATCCATTTCCCTTACTGAGCTAGTACCAGAGCCACTGTACCCTAAATTACATTCTCCTGTCCAGAGCAATATTTGGAGTCATCAGCACCTAACACTACCATTAAGGAGGTCAGATGGGGTTAGAGGAACCACTATCAAGGTTTACTTCATTAAACATTAATAAAATTTCCACGGGGTCAGAACAACCATGTTCATTCTCAAAGACCTGCTTTTCTTCAGTGATGGAGAGAGTAACTTTCTTCTTTCTAAAACATTTATGTTTTCAAAGAGAAACTTGGTCTTCATTTCTGTAAAAATGCTTCTGACTTGTTCTTGGGGAAAATGCCTCACAACAAGTGTTGCTCAAGCTACAGAAAAGAAGATCATTGAGTAATCAGTCCATTTTAAGGGTGCCCTGGTTTAAAGCTACAGTGGTTCCATCCAGGATCCCCATATGTCCTTCTGTCTCAGCAATTTGTACCTTTCCTTACATTCTTACAAACCCAACTGAGACAAATGAGGAGGTTCAAAGCTAGTCACTACATACCTTAGCAGAGAAAATTTGCCTTTAAATTGTTTTGTACAGATATACCTCGAGTTTTCCTGGACTGTTTATGGCTCTTTGATTGGTAACATTTGAAAACTATAGTTTTGTAACCAGTGTATTACTACATCTACTTGTGTTAAGATCAGGCACTTCATTTCACAAACAGAAACATTCAAAGGAGTTTTTGGTCAACTGGTTACTCAGTCAAAACAGCTGAATTCTTCATAAAAAACACTTACCATTGAAATTAAACTGCAACTTTATCAATTTTCCATTTCTATTTTAGAAACCGGGTCAGTAATAGTGCTTACATATAGGCGATAAATAACATTCCTATGTGTTTCATCCACAGGAGCAAAGATTGTCCAGAACTTTTTGGGCTTCATTCCCCAAAACATAGCATTTTTTCAATACATATATAAAAATACAGCAGATTTCTTTCTAAAAGATAAATCTTAATGGTTAATCCTATAACTTGCTCTTACACATTTCAAAATGTAGACGTATGAAAAATATTAAATGTGCAAAAGGCTCTTTTTCATGTACATTTTTAAACACATAATAGTTCATTTAGACAACAGTTGAAAACCTATTGAAAAAAAGCCTTCAACCTCACAGAAATCCTGGTCAGAATAGAGATTTTGCTTGTTGAATTGTAAACAAACTTTTTTAATGCTGAGACTTTTCTCAGTTCTTTCCCAACAAGCCACTCTCGAACAGATCAAGTCCTGCTTTGAAGTAAACCTGAGCTGAATTGATGCTGTTCAGCACCTTGGACAGGGCTGCTCGAAGGGTCTCATTTGACAGATGTAACTTTTCATGCTCCCAAGCTTCATGGAGTATGGAAAATTGGTGGGTCTTCTCATCCAGCCTGTACAGAATGTTTCTGAAGAGAAGCACAGAACATTTTTAAAATATTTTTTAAAAATTTTATTAATTTATTTTGATTTATTAATAATCACTTCCATATGCTTTTGAGTTTAAAATTTTTCTCCCCAAGACAGCACACAATCTGATGTAGGCTATACATTTACATTCCTATTAAATATTTTCGCTTTAGTGGTGCTGTAAGTAAAAATTAAAACCAGTAGGAGGAACTATCAGAAAGAGGAAGCAAAACTCAACAGAAGAGAAAAAAATAGCAATTCAACTTTCAAAGTTCTTTCTCTGGATGTGGATAACATTTTCAATCATGAGGCCTCTGGATCAGATGTCTTAGATCCTTGTATTGTTGGGAAGGGTTAAGTTTATCAATATTAGTCATCGCGCAACATGGCTGTTGTTGTTCTGCTCATTTCACTCAGCATCAGACCGTATAAGTCTTTCCAGTTTTTCTGAAGTCAGCCTGTTCATCATTTCTTATAGCACAATAGTATTCCATTACATTCATATACCACAACTTGCTGAGCCATTCCCCAATTAATGGGCATCCTCTCAATTTCCAATTCTTTGCCACCACAAAAAGAGCTGCTATGAATATTTTTGTACATGTGGGTCCTTTTCCCATTTCTTTGATCTCTTTGGGATATAGCCCTAGAAGTGCTATTGCTGGATCAAAGGGTATGCACATTTTTATAGCCCTTTGGGCATAGTTCCAAATTGTTCTCCAAAATGATTGAATCATTTCACAACTCCACCAACAATACATTAGTGTTCCAATTTTCCCACATCTTCTCCAACGTTTATCATTTTCTTGTTTTGTCATGTTGGCCAATCTGATAGATGTGATGTGGTACCTCAGAGTTGTTTTGATTTGCATTTCTCTATTCAATGATGATTTAGAGCATTTTTTCATATGGCTATAGATGGCTTTAATTTCTTCATCTGAGAACTGTCTGTTCATATCCTTTGACCATTTAGCAATTGGGGAATGGCTTGTTCTTATAAATTTGACTTAATTCTCTATATATTTTAGAAATGAGGCCTTATCAGAGAGACTGGTTGTAAAAATTCTTTCCCAATTTTCTACCTTCCTTCTAATCTTAGTTGCATTGGCTTTGTTTGTGCAAAAACTTTTCAATTTAATGTAATCAAAATTATCATTTGCTTTTTTAATGTTCTCTCTCCTGTTTGGTCATGAATTCTTCTGTTCTCCATAGATCTGATAGGTAAACTATTCCTTGTTCTCCAGTCTGCTTATAGTATCAGCCTTTATATCTAAATCATGAACCCATTTTGACTTTATTTTGGTATATGGTGTGAGATTTGGGTCTATGCCTAGTTTCTGCCATACTCTTTTCCAGTTTTCCTAGCAGTTTTTTTCAAAGAGTGGGTTCTTATCCCAGAAGCTGTCTTTGGGTTTATCAAATAATAGATTACTATAGTCATTGACTACTGTGTCTTGCATATTTAACCTTCCACTGATCCACTCTATTTCTTAGCCAGTACCAAGCAGTTTTGATGATTGCTGCTTTATAATACAGTTTAATATCTGGAATTGCTAGGCCACCTTCCCTGCATTTCTTTTCATTAGTTCCCTTGATATTCTGGAATTTTGTTCTTCCAAATGAATCTTGTTATTATTTTTCTAACTCTATAAAATAATTTTTTGGTAGTTTGATTGGTATGGCACTGAATAAGTAAATTAGCTTAGGTAGATTGTCATTTTTATTATATTAGCTCGGCCTCCATGAGCAACTGATTTTTCCAATTATTTAGATCTGATTTTATTTGTGTGAAAAGTGTTTTGTAATTGTGTTCATAGAGTTCCTGGGTTTGTTTGGGAGGTAGACTCCAAATATTTTATAATGTCTACAGTAAGCTTAAATGGAATTTCTCTTCCTATCTCTTGCTGTTGGGCTTTGTTGGTAATATATGGAAATGCCGATGATTTATGTGGGTTTATTTTATAGCCTGCAACTTTGCTAAAGTTGTTTATTATTTCAAGTAGTTTTTTACTTGATTCTCTAAGTATATGATCATATCATCTGAAAAGAGTGATAGCTTTGTTTCTTCTTTGCCTATTCTAATGCCTTCAATTTCTTTTTCTTCTCTTATTGCTAAAGCTAATGTTTCCAGTACAATACTGAATAACAGTGGTGATAATGGACATCCTCGTTTCACCCCCAATCTTATTGGAAATGCTTCTAGTTTGTCCCCATTACATATTATGCTTGCTGAAGGTTTTAGATAGATGCTATTTATTGTTTTAAGGAAGACTCCATTCATACCTATGCTTTCTAGTGTTTTTAATAGGAATAGGTGTTGTATTTTGTGAAAAGCCTTTTCTGCATCTATTGAGATGATCATGTGGTTTCTGTTGGTTTTGGTGTTGATATGCTCAATTTTGCTGATAGTTTTCCTAATATTGAACCAGCCCTGCATTCCTGGTATAAGAAACACAGAACATTTAACTGTTTTATGAAGAAAGAAATTATTATTAAAACCAAATCTTTTCAAGTAAAATGTTGGGTTTTTTTTCTTCAAAAGGCATACATACCAACTAGTAGAGAGATATAATTAGGCTTGAATTATTCAAATGAGATGATTGGTAGGAGACAAGAACAATCCCAAAACCATTTCCATTCCACTGTTTCCACTCTGCACTCCTTTTCCATATCCAAATAAGCATTAGAGTATGCACTATTATGCCCCCCTCCAAAAAAAAAAAAAGCAGTGTGGCATAGTGAATAGAGATATAATTTTGAAAGGAAGAAGACCTATGCTCAAGTCCTATGTCTGACACATACCTGTTACATGACCAATAGCAAATTACTTAACTGTTCGGTGGCCCCAAACATCTAAGATGATAAGTTGCAGATTGGCACCTGACAAGCTGAATGACTTGGTATTGGGATGATATGGGCTTAAACTCTTTCCTGGACACCAAAAAGTGACAATGTCTTCTCTGATCCTTGGTTTCCTCTTATGTAAAATGGGCACAGTGATACAATACACCTTACTTTGTAAAGTTATTTTGAGTTTCTGATGAGATCATGTGGGCAAAGTGCTAACTGCAAAGTGCTAGATCATTTATTTGGTGCTTTTAAAGTTTGCAAGCCAACCTCCACATGAGATCACATTTGAATTTTACAATAACCTTGAGTGGCAGGCACTACAGGTTTTATTGTCTCAATTTTAAAGGTAGGAAAGTGAGGCTCAGAGTAGCTGGTGCAGTAGAACAGGCTCTAGAGTCAGAGAACCTGGTTTTAAATGGGTTCTTATGCTAACTGCTGTGACTTTGGGCAAGTCATTTATCTTCCCTGTGTTTATTTCTTCATCTCATTTATAAAACATCAAGACAGTTAGATGGCACCATGAATTAAGCGCTGGATGTAGAGTCAGGTACACCGGAGTTCAAATCCTGCCTCAGACATTATTAGCTGCATGTCCTAGGGAAAAGAATTTAATCATTCTCAGCTTTGGGCTTGCTCATCTGTAAAACGGAGACAATCACAGCTCTTACCTAACAGGGTAGTTGTGATGATCAAGGGAGGTTGAAAACCTTGAGGCACCACCTGAGGGCTCGCTGTTGTTTTCTTATTCCTGTGGTTACTAGCAACAACAACACCCCAGAGGTCCCTGTTAGGTCTAAATCTATGATCCTGTAACTCGCCTAAGGTCCCAAATCCATTATGTATCATAAGGATTGAGAATTTTCCTGATTTCCTCACCTTATTCTAAGATAATAATATCTCCTATCCTCCATGTTATTTTTCGTTACTTTGGTTTCATTTATCTGTGTTCATGTACTCTCCTTCCAACAGAATATAAGCTTCTTGAAAACAGGTACTGCTTCAGTTGTGTGTGTGTGTGTGTGTGTGTGTGTGTGTGTCTCGCTTCATACCTAGGATGGTGCCTTGTACCTCGTAAATGCTTTATTGAGCCTTGCTGAATGCTTTTTCTAGTTATAAATGTATTTGAATAACCATTATTAGTCAAATTCCCATGATCAAAATTATCAATGAAAATCTTTTTTCCAAATTTTTCATAAAGATAACAGAAAATTCCTCAGAAGGAGCCCTATAGGAAATAACAGAAAGCAAATGGGTTTATTAGCATAATTCAAGAAGACTGTAATTACCTTAAATCTTTACTAAGAGGTTTTTTTATGACAAATCAAAATGATGAAGGGCTTTTTTTTGAGCACTCCTTTAAATGTTTTGAGATGAACACATTTGATAGAAGGAAAAGAACATCAAAGAAAGAAAAGTAGTCTAGGCACTCCATTAGTAACCTAATTTTCTGACCCATCTAGTAGCAACTCCAGATTGGTAATCCAAATTCAAGGGATATTCTCTCTCTCCCTCTCTCTCTCTCTCTCTCTCTCTCTCTCTCTCTCTCTCTCTCTCTCTCTCTCTCTCTCTCACTACTGAAACTTAAATACACAATAAGAAAAGAAAAAAGAAACATTATAAACTTAAATATTAAAACTTAAATCCAAAATAAGAAAAGAAAAAATAAAGCATGTCACATGCACAGCAGAATGTGAGAGAATTCAACATACATAGCAATAAATTTCCATTTCAAGAAAGTCTGCTCATTGTGTTGAGAGCTCTCCATCTTTTATTTGTTTCCTTGTTAGTTTTCTTTTGTTCTCTACTGAGCACTTTTTATGTTGTTCTTTTTTCCCCCTTATACCTCCCCCAAGGATACAATTAAGCACAGATATATTTACATATAGATACAGATATACACATATATACATACATGTATAGACATATACTTTCTTTAACAAATTCTACTTCTGATCCTTGTTTTTATATTTGTGCATTTCTCTTATTTCCTAATCCTTCTAACTCCTCTACTTTAGTTCTTCCTCCTATCTTGCCCTCCTATTACTTAACTTGCCCCCCCTTCCACAGATCCCTCTGTTCTCCCATTCCCATTAATCTAAACATCCTTCTATAGCCCCCCTTTAAACTATTCCCTCCCCCTCCCCTCTAG